ATGCCAACGAGGTATCAGGTTTAGCTAACTCCTTACTCTCCTATAGTCCTCGTATTTCTCTCTATATCAACTAGTGTGATGATATACTTCCCAGCACCCTCGTTACTATTCCCTTCCAGGCTTTTGAATCAGGTTTACCTTTTTCCAGGTTCTTGATGAGTATGTTCGTATAGGTCTAGAAACATGTAAAAAACTTCGAATTTCACCTCACATTGAGGATTTACCCTACCAGGATCGGCAAAGCCCAGGTCAGACAATTTTGTATAGTGAGGAAGAAGAAATTTGTAGAAATCACACAGAAGCTTTCAGGATTCAGCGACTTAGCGAGGGTGGATATTTGGGGACCGGTGAAAAACCATCTGGTGATTCTTATACATGGTGGTTTCTGGCAGGTGAATACTTTATATCAACGTAGTTCTAAAGATCCCAAATAGATCAAAAGGGGTGAACTCAATAGTTTACCATATTCATTTGTTTATTCTGATACATGCAGTGGTGTGCTCGAACAGGTAAACATCAAAGACAAAATCAAAACATTCTTAGATCGGCTGCTCAAGATCTCCTAAAGTCAATAAAAAAGTAGATTATGACTTTATTTCTGGCATAATCCTGGGAAGGGTTCTGCTGGTGAAAAGCATGTTCCCATTCCAGTGTGAGCTCAGAGCCACAGGGGTTATAAAAACGCTGGCCTAAACTTCAAATCAAATTAAAATTTAAATCAAATTAAAATTTTCTTCAACGGGCCATATATGCAGGAGTCGTTGACGGATAGTTACCGCATTATATTACGCAAGAAATGGAGCACTGTCACTATCACTATCAGGCACGCATTGCGCATGGCCACAGGTTCAAATCCCGGATCCATATCCGCTTAGGCTAACAAAGTCTTCCATCCTTTCCATTCCTGGTATTGGTTCATCGCGTCGGATTCGTCTGGGAGGATAAGAGCACTGACTTGTACTAGGCTGAATGAAAAGTCCTTATAGGGTTGAGATGTTTTCTGTTTTATTTTACAACTCAGCAAACAATGCAAGCTAATCAACAATATAATAACCATGGTTAGTTATGATACTGTCCCACCTAACGGGCGGGTCAGCAATTTCGTCTCAAGAACTGGGGAAGTTGGGAGTCAAAGAAGTTATCGACCACTTGTTCAAGGCGATCGTAGTCGACTAATTGTTTTTTCACTATGAAAGCTTTAGGGGCCGGAACAAGTGATACTATGAAGGAGCAGTATCAGTTGAATAGGGTGGATGTGGAACCGAGTCCCAGTCTAGCTCCTCCAATTCTGCACCTCTATGCACCTGGGTCTCTTTACCTATGCGAGGCCTGCCGTTGTCATTTATGTGCACCGTAGTTCGTCTAGGCAGTTTTCTCGGACGGCTACCGCAAGTTCCTGCAGCTGACTAGTGTAATAGGGAGCGGTGACGGTATGGCCGGAGCGGTGACGGTATGGCCATTCCTTTTGAATCCCAGAGGCAGCAAAGAAGAAACTTCTAGGAGTGGAGGCCGGATTTGGCTTGAGTCGGTGGCTGTTCTCTTCGCGAGAGCCAGATGGCGCGGTGCTTGTTAGCGTCGTATATGGTCAGCTTTCATCTCCAGTAACTAGGTTCTCCAGAAACTCTTTGCGATGTGGGTGAAGAAGGAGAGACTGACGAATGGATACCCGAGTGTACCGCATGATATCGGTGGAGACATGAGGTATCCATCGTGTCAGCACTTTTCTGTAACCGAGAGCCTGAAAGCCACGGACGGCTGTTGATTGGGAGCACCCAAATCTCGTCGCAAGACTGCGGGTGTTAACTTCCGGATCCTCTTTGACGGAGTAGAGAATACGGAGTCGTCGATGGCGAGGGGCGTCTAAACCGAGGCTTGTCTTCGGAGCCCCGTATCTCCTTCCTTGAAGCAAGCGAACCAGCGACGAAAGGTAGCGATAGAAGTGTTTTCTTCCCCCAATGCACTGTTGATGTTGTGGACTGTTGCTGTCGCTTCAGTGCCGTGGCGCCACCCACAGAAGATGCGGAGAAGCTCCTAAAGTGTTCTACAACTACCAAATGATAGATCAATGGTTTAAAAATTCTATAAAGACTTTCCGATTAACCTAATACATCTGCTGGTTACCGCTAGTTATTGTATATGCCACATACCCATTCAATACGCCTTTACGATTCTGGATGGAAGTCAAATGCGGGGAACATTCCTTTGAAGAATTGCCTAACACCCAAAGACTTTATCCCTATTAAGGCACAATTGCTGAGTCATAGGTAAAACGTCTGTCAACGTCAACCTTAAAGGAGACTTGGAATCTTGCTGGTATTCTTTTATTCATTATTTTATTGATTTTTTTTCAGGAAGGTACTAGAAAAGCAATTAGTCCAGCGGCAGTGAATTTAGTGAAAAGAGGTATTGCTGCGGCATCAGTAGGATATAACTATGCCAGCAGTGCTAATCCAGTGTCTGCTGTGATTCAACAATTAATTACTGCTGTAGAGGTAGGTATTTCTGTAAGNTGGAGTTTCCATGGAATTTCTATTTCAAATTGCCATCATGCACCTAGCATATCCGGCTCTCTCCTTCTTCTCTCTCGGCAATCTTCAATGACCGAACTGTCCCTCCGTAATCGACACTTCCTTCTTTACGAGTTCCTATCCGGCCTTTTCGCTGCTGGAGCCCCATTAAAACTTGTGTTAAGTACTTCGACTTGAGATCCCCTATAAGTGATGCTGTGAAGCCCTCGTTCCACCGCTTTATAGGCAGTAAAAGGAAGGCATAAGATTAGCCTCGGTCTGATGAACTGACCGCGATATCCTGAGATTTTCGGATATGTTAGGCTCATACAAGTAAGTAGGATCCTCTCAAAGTATTTCTGTGGGAACTTCCGGAACATTCCAGAAGAAATTTGGGCTTTTACGAAATCCCTGGTGGATACTTTTCAAACTCCCTAATAGAGTGGTAAACCCAATGGCAATTCTATTTTTAAAAACTGTTGATGTTTAGTTTCTGCTTCGAATATATCCCAAAGCAAAGTCCGTATCCTTAGTTGGCCATTCAGCAGGAGCACAAATGGCATTTAAAGGTTTGTTCACTTTATGAAGTTACTTATCTGTCTTTAAACCGAGGCTTACTTTATTTCTAAGTTGGGAAACAACCATTGGTTTCTTACTGCTTTCAAAATATACTCATTTTACGTAGTTTTCTCGCATTGAATATCTTTGAAGCTTTTGCGATGTAATGAGTATAACGATGAGTAAAAAAAGCTACTCAAATAATTTCCATTGACACTCAGCCAACTTATCTCCGCTGGTGATCACAGTTAACCTTTTCCAGTGTTTTCCAACATACGATCTCCTCGTATTGAAAGGTTGGTCCTGATTGCCGGCATTTACAATTTGGATGACCTTCCCAACTGCGAGATCGGAGCTCTTATAGGGTTTGTCCTAAAAGTCTCTGTCTAAAACAGCTCGGCCTATTTTTAACTATCCATCTTTCCCAGGTTAACTCCAGAAGAAGCCAAAAAGAACGCCTGTGATGCGTCTGAGTTAGAAGGAACAAATGTCAGAGTACTAATGATGGCTGCCATGAAAGTAAGTTATCTACGGTACCTTTCCATCATGAATTTCTGATAAATGCGATCCGAGGAGCATTCAAAAAACCTTATTAATAATGTCGAAAGAGTTCATCCGTTCATCCGTCATAAATATATGTTCCTCTGATTTATTAGTTAGAACTATTTTAGGATTCACCAAAACTCATCGAGCAGAATCAAGCAATGGCGGAATCGCTGAAGAGTAAAGGTGTCGCAGTTGAGTATGAGGTTCGTTCAGGTAGCAAAGTTAATGAGGAAATCACGTATTTTACTACGTATCCAAACGCATTTGGAACGTAGGTGAAGTAATAACAAAAGAGGTGATGTTTCGATGGTTCCAACGCCTCGATTTCCAATGAAAACAGAATACACGGCGCGATCTTGGAAAGTACCGCTCTACGCAAAGTCAATCACTTTATACATTCGGAGCATGCCTGAAAAAACATCCTGAAGGCTAATATCAGCTCCCTATGATATATGCACATTCTGATGCTTCTACTGCTACGTGTTTATGGAAGTCAAATGGGGGTCGGTGAACCGCTCGAACATAAGGGTACTCTTGCTCTTATCTCGAGAATACAACATTCGAACTTGAGCACGGGCCTTGCATCCCGGGATTCGGAACGAAATCGCCCCCAGCTGGTAAGGAATCATTTGTAGAACTTGGAGATTGATTTAGGTAAAGATTCCCTCAATCAGTTTTCGGTTGACTTTATAGCTCTTATGCCTCGTAATTCTTTTTCCACGAGGTATACGTGAATTTATGAGTCTTCATGAGAATTTAGGATGAGAAAATTGAGGTAATCAGTGTTTCCCATCCCAGTGAGTCTGCTAAATACTACTTGATCGACCAGGAAAGGAAGACTAGGTTAACCTAGGCAAATAACTTTGCAGGATTCGATCCCCAGAACTTGCGCATGATAATGAGCCACTCGTTCCAATCTGTGATCGCCTCAATAGATGGGAGTTGATGAATTAATCAATTACAAAAAAAGACTAATACATATTCGAGAGTTGAGTTTCCCGAATATTTAGGAATTTCCTGATTGCGATCACTTCAACATCATACACGGACTTCGGAAAGAGGAAGAGGACCACACGAAAAAATTCCTCCTTTTTCTACAGGACGATTGATAGATCGCGGTTCATCGCTAAGCACCCGTTACTATTCACTTTTCAAATTATTGTTATTGTTGTTTTCATTGTTGTATAAATACTTTTTTCTACCGTATGACTACATTTTCTTTAAAATCATACTGTATCTTTCAAGAATCACGTTAACTATATGAAGTTTTCCTTATGCGCCTGAGGAAGTTCCTGTAACCGGAGCTTTCTTCAACCAAACACATTTGCGATTTAACGATGCAAAGTATTAGATTAGATGGGCTCAGAAGGCGTAAGCTGTAGCTCCCTCGGATCAATTATTTCGATCGATATCGATTCGTCAACAAAGGCCTGGGAATTTGGGGATGTCGAATCGTTCGTCTCGTCTCCGTCAGGTAGCCGCTACCAGAAGGTAATGTATACGAGTTATTTGTTAGTGAAGAGTTCGCCCCCCTGCTGCTAGGCCCTGCCCCTGTGGCCCATTGCCATGTGCAGATGATCGTCCTGTCCTGACCTGGGACAATACGATTGCCTGACTGGAGAAGTCTATGTTGTGTACATCCGCAATCAACAATCACACTAAAAATCGATATTGATCGTTATTGACTGCATGACATCTTTGTAGTGAATTCTCCCTTACAGTATTTATCTCCTGTTGGTAAGAACCCTCTACGACTGGTTATTTTGCGATAACTCGGTTGAGGTAAGTTTCGAACTTCATGACATACAGACAGACAAACAAACAGACACACAAACACAAACAGATATACTCAGCCTTATATAGAGTTGAGATATTTTGATAATTTTTTAGTTGAAGCCTATGATTAGCGGTTGGATTCTGAAACAATATTTTCAAATGGGGAAATTACTCTTAATAAGGGGTTATAAACGGAGTTGAGCATTCGTAAGTGCTCTTTTTCGGGAACTCAAAGGAAGTTCAGGGTTTCCTATCAATCCCTAACGATCCAGATGATTGCTGATTCCATTTTATTGGTGTAAGAATGCGTCCCTAGGACACGTTTCCCATGGTTGTTAACCTTGACGACCCAGGGGACAAAATGACATGTAAAAAAGGATATAAACAATGAAACAAACCTGCGAAGGGAATTAGATTGTTCGATTATGAGAAACGATAACGGCAAAATGGGATGCACAGCGATGGACGAGTTTCCCGTAATTGGACGAGTTCCCTTTTCAATTGCGCGAATTTGGCGTGTTTCAAAACAGGCCCTATATTGTCGGCCCATTGTCCTGGTCCCATTGTTTGATTTTGAAGCGTACAATGGTGTCTTATTCACTCCCATCTGAATTTCATGGTTTTCGTCACGTCTGGGGTACATCGACTTACTTCTATCTTATCCCTCTATCTTTGTTCCCATACCTTTCTTGAAAACAACTGTGACCTACTAGTACTCGGAGTTTACGAGTACATTTTTTTTAACAGTGACATCCAACCAGATATATAAGACTGGAAGCACCTGTTTTCCAGAAAAAAAAAACGTCGCAGGAAAGTTTATCGTATTTTGGATTTGCTGAAACGAGGTAGGAATGGGCGATGTTGGGCGGAAGTTCGATAATGGACAAGGACACATAGTGGTCAAACAAGAGGTACGTTTGGTGAAAATATTTTTTTGGCACTGTGTTGTCAATTTTTTAGTGGGGTATCCACCCAAACTACCAATTTGAAGCATTTTCATAGTCTAAGACAACTTTTCAATTTTCTAGAGACTTGATTATCGTTCTCCAACGCTTACACGACGGCAAGTTCAACAGAATGTTAAACACAAATATCCTGATGTCAAGGTAGCAACATGTTTTCGGTGAGCTTCACTTCTTCTTCTTTATAAACGTGTGTCCCTTCTAGAAGCGAGGTCCGCTTATCTGTGAACTGACATTGTTTTACCCGATTGAATGCTTAAGATGAAGGCAAACTGATTTTGAGGGCCCACTCAGGGTATCCAGAAAGCGCTGTTTCGGGCATTTGTTTTTGTTTCTGAACCATTCTTGCGACCTTAGGGCTAGGAGTGTATAATCCTTTCTTTTTTCTTCATTATATTTCTGAAGTCCTTCGATGTTGCTTGTCGGAAGTTTTCGTGATTGTAAGTCTGCTGATGGAGATTCCCAACTTTCTCCTTGAATGAAATCGACGTAATTTCACTAAAACACCGTTGAGAAGTGCATGGGAATAGTCTTGTAGTTGCTCTCCATAGAGAAATTGGCTTAAAAAGCGTACCCTGTCGATTCACGTTGATCTTGAAAGAAAACACCCATTCTCGTTGCTTCTATGGACTATAAATCTTGCTACTTTATGCTTTTAGACCTAGTGGGATACTCTCAGCTGATCTCCCTGTGGATAATAAACACACAGTTGACAGGTCGATGGGCTTGCGGCATTTTTCCACTAAAGTATGCGAAAAAGTCAAGGAAAAAGGTCGGACGAATTATAACCAGGTTGGCACTTTTTTTCTTCTCCTTATTTAGATTATTCCTCTTTAAATAAATCATCTGCGCCACACTTACTACTTACAAAACACGGCGATCAGCATTAAAAATTATTGTCTTTCTAGGTTGCTGATGAGCTCGTGGCAGAATATTTCGCTGCAAACAACATGAATTCAGAAGAGTTCCTTGTAGGTTCTTTGATTGTCGGTAGATTTCGCCTTCTAAATCGTTTATTAACAGGAGAGGCAAAAATTTGACCAGAAGAACATTCGACGTCGAGTCTATGATGCCCTCAATGTTTTGCTTGCTATGAATATTATCTGCAAGAGAAAGAAGGTACGTCCTGATATCTGATCAGCTGAACGTGAGTGGTAAAGCTTCGAAGCCAGCTTTTAGGATATCGATTGGGTTGGTCTACCAGCTACCAAAGCGGGAGAAATCAAGCGTTTAGAAGAAGAAAAGGTTTTGTTTCCCTGTAATCTTCTTTCACTCGAGAATCGAATCTTTTTTCTCCAGGCAAAGCTCACTGAAAGGATCCGTCGAAAGAAGGAAACTATTCAAGAGCTTATAGTGCAGCTCGTTGCTTATAAAAGCCTAGTTTGGAAAAATCGTGAGATGGAGAGGTGAAATTCTTCTCAGATTACTCCTTGACGTGATACAGTTCTTTCTTCTTCATCAGCGGCATTTCTTTTAATTGAGTGTAACAGTGTTTTGCAGGGTTTCTGCAAGGCCGCCAGAAAATACGATTCTATATCTTCCCTTTGTGATTATCAATACCTCAAAGAAGTGGGTCTTTTGCTAACCTCCACGTTTTGATTTTTATAACCTCATTCATCTTTTTTTTATGATGAAATCATTCAAGTGGGAAAGACCAAGGAGATAGAGAGAGTGTGTGGGCTGGTATAGGGCGAGTCTTGAGGGCTACTAGTAAAGAAAGCAGTAAGTAAGATATGTAGAAAGGGATGGTCGAAGTGTAGCATGATCGTTAAACGAGGATCGCTAGTCATGGACAAGAAAATGTATTGGAAGCAGTTGAAGGGTCTCGTCCACGTAAAACTATAAGTAAGATGAGCATCTTTCTATTCCATATTTGCATCATTTCCTTAGCATTAAATGGTTCTTAGTGTAGCAGTCATGCTGATAAGGCGAAGAATGGTTAGAAGTGGATAAATTAATGCAAAAAAAGGTTGTCGAGTTTTCGGAGACGTTCTATTAAATCGAGTAAAATTAGGAAGATAGAAAGAGCATGTCATTATAAAATAATAATTGCAGTACAACTGTCGACTGTGCTGTATCAGGAGATAGATCAGAATTCCTCTTCAACTTCGATCAATCGTTTGAGGTCCACGACGATTTTGAGGTCAGAAGCTCCCCTTTATATTATACCAACAACATAAATCCGAACTTTATAATTTCTTTTTAGTTCTGGTCAGCTGGACCGTTACAGACTTTATTTATATTTTTTATTTTTAGACATAATTATATTGCTCTTATAATGAAGCTCTTCCAACTGAATGATTATTGTGTTCATTGCAGGCCTTGAAGCGCCTCGGATATTCATACGGCCTGGAACACAATACTTTGAACCCTGAAATGATGGAACACATCGATGAGTTTATTCCTCCTGCTCTCCGAGGTTACATACCTAAAATATTAGGAGGTATGTTGCCCCTCACATTAAATGCGAAGAAGTTAGGTGCTTGACTAAGTTGTAGTAAATGAGTAATCAGGAATGACTTGATGTTCCAGGAGAGATGTCTGATTGGGAGTCGCGTGTGCGAGGGGATCCATCAATGCAGTACATAATTCGTGATGGACCTTCTGGAGATAAACTGTTGGTAATTTCGTCTTGTGTCGCTGTTTTGCAGCAGTGGGTTTCCAAATGTTACTCCTTCAATTACAGACAAACTTCATCTTTTGACCAAACCGCTTCGGATCACTCGAGCGAGAGTTCATATGCTGATATGACTCAGCAAACTGTGTATACGATGCCTGAAAACATACCATACACTGTCCCGGCTTACGAATCAGAAATCGGAGATGATGTGGACGTTGTGGGAACCTCAACTGATTACAATACCTATTCTTTGCCTGGACCCAGTACTAGCTATGCAGCAGTGGAGCAGGGTTCTCATCCAATTCCAGTGCGACCTACCAACTCGTTATCTCGAACTGTTACGAATATTCCCGATTATGCGGAACCGGGTCCTTCTACCTCAAAGGTTCGTATCTTCGAATTATTTCTATTAATAGCATCAGTTTCTCTTATTTAACCCTTCCAGACACAACAGTACCTACCTCGGCAAGTCTCTGCTAAAAGGCCTATATATGCTGTACCGATTCAATCAACCGGTCCAATTTTCCGAAAAGCGCAGGTTGATGCTGACGGCAATATTATTTACACTCATGTGCGTTTTCCTCTCTTATTTTGAATAAGTGGTTCTTTCCTCTTCGAGGCAAACATGCTGTGTTTCATTTTTCAGAATATCCAGCCGAAGCGAGCGAAAACTGAGAACTATGGCGTCTGAAGTGCTCAAATACTGCATTAATAGTCACGCTTAGATTTTTAGTCCTCTGGTCGATTCCTCCTGCTATTTCGATGATAATACCTGTCCATCTGAGTAATTGAACTCTAGGTTTTGCGTTTCTTCGATTCCTTTCCCATTGTGACCGCTTCGCATCCCGTTTCCTTCTGGTTTGTTATGATCGGCTCCCATAATCATGCATTTCTCACCTTGAAAACATTCGGTTGGTTGGAGCATACTCACAAGTTTTTCCTCAGTCGGTCATTCTAACGGTATCAATCTGTTTGTGTTGATATATTTTTTTCCCTGTCTCTGATCGGTTGTTTTCAATTTTGTTCTTATTTTGATAACATTGATGTTGTAATTACAGTGAATTAATCTCAAGTGCGTTCTTAAAGTTTATGAAGATTCAAAATATAGTGTGGCTTTTGCTTGGTGAAGGTTATAACATATGATATTTTGGACAATTACGAGATATTAATACTTCAGTGCGGCAGATACTTGTCCCACCTTAATGAGATATGAAAATCAGTGAAAAATGAGCTCGGGACGTTTTCACCACCCCGCTCCATCCCCTTCCTCTTTTTTTTACTTTT